TGTTCAGATAGATTAGCTTTCTGATTGAAATACTCCGCCATCTGCAAGGTAGTTAAAAGAAGAATATTAGGAGAAAATAAGGCTAATAACAGATAATAGAAGTGATGCTTTTAAGTTCGTAATGATGTTTATTCGACAGCCGCATAATATCATGGATGCCAAGAGAATTTGGGAAGCATCACCATCCATCAAAATTTTAGCCCTAGTACCACTTAAATATCTCAAAGAGGAACCAGGGAGCTAAGATGAACTTGTCAATGAATAGCTCATTTGGTTAACAAATCAACATGCTATAATAAAGTATGCTATTATTATGAAATTTTTTTTTAAAAAAAACAATAAAGGTGATGGCAGGCTTGAACTCCTGTTTTCTTATAGTTCTAAAGGCGCATAAGAAATTTTGTAGTTAATTTCTAGCAGAGCATCAATTTATTTTGGCATCATTCTCTTAGTTGGACATCAATGTCATCAGTCCATTAACATTTCTCCTTCTTGTATGACTACATCTATTTATTAATCCTTCTCCAAGCATCATGCAGATAATTGACAAATCAAGCATCAAATTAGTAAAATGTCTTCAATATAAAACTCAGTTCTCAAACGGCAAAAACCTCGTGTACGATTCAATCGCCAGTCATCTGGAAGCACATGGATCAATTCAAATCCTCCATAACCCAAAATCAAAACTAGCCAACTGAACGTTGAACTGATGATACAAAAATTCCACTAAAAGGCCAAAAGCAATAAATCTGCTAACTAACATAACTAAGAAATCTGAAAAGGGAGCAGAGACGTGCAGACTTACCTCATTGAAACTGCAAACCCCAGAACTCTGACGCCCAACAGAGTCCTGAGAGTTCTTGATATCTCTGGACACATTGGGCAAAACAATATCATCGTACAAAGAGATCCCTGGAAGTGTTTTTCATCGACCTCAACCACCCTAGACCCTGCCACTCCTTTACAGTAAAGCAACCTCGGTATCGAAGTTGACATCGAATCCCCTCCCCAGTGCCTGTACAGAGTTCAGTGCAGTGTGCTTGGCTGCTGCATATTCCCCCATTTTTCATCACAAAAACCTTCAATTTCTCCCGATTTTGCTCTAATCAGAAGCTAACCAAGTAACAGCATAAACCTCCGCAAACAATAGACACAATTCCTCACCCGTTATGCTTTACTTCATTATTAGAGCCCGTATTTACCAGTGTTGATCAAATCGTCTCTGTAAACCCATTTCTCTCTCACGGGGTTGAAAAAAGAAAAAGATTCCTATCGCCGAGAAGCTAGATGTTCATGGATTGAAATCGGTACCCATCGTGGATCTTCAATCGACGAAAAACCATCCATATTAGCTCCCTTCCTAATACATATATATATGTACATATATGAGTATGGTGCGTGGACTATGGACTGTCGACTTTTCTGGCCGTCGTAAATCTCATATTTCTGATAATTCTCCGCGTGTGAACTTTTGGTAAATAACAGCCGTTGATTTTTATTTGATCCATGAGCCTTTGACATCATCCAACGGTTTTTAAGAGATTAATTTAAAACGTTTTTCTTTAGAGTGAAAAAACGGCTAACTTTCACTAAGTCTACCTCTACCATTCTGTGCTCCCTTCCCCGTCAAGGATGGATATATATATATATATATATGTGTGTGTGAGTGTGTGTATAAATATGTATATGTATATGTATTATATAATATTATATAATGGATGTATTTTTCTGAAAAGAAAAAAGAAAAAAGAAAAAATCTGACATATGAATTATTTTGGATGGTCAGATAAGTACAATTATTTATATCCATTCTATTTTTACTTTATTACGTGTCTCTGTGTGTGTTTTTATAAAAATGTGCTGATTGGTCAGGTCAAAATTTGACCGTCAAATATTAAAAAGAAGATTTTATTTTTGATAAAAATAAAAATAAAATTTAAAAAAATTTCGGCTTAATGAGTACATTAAGTGTGTTTATATTTAAAATATAATATTAGTTCTTGTTAGTGATTTTATATTCTTCATAAAAATAATTTACATAAATTAAAAATTAATCACATTTATTGATATATGTTATACAAAGTTTACATGACAAGTTATGTTGGGAACAGAAACAACTGGCAACAGCTCTTGGAAGACAAGTGTGCCAACTTGCCTAGCTCAGCGAAAAGTTCCAGTCAGCATACCAACTCATCAATTGGATCGTCGACAAATACGCATGACCGACAATTAGAATACAATCGTCCTCCGCTTAAGAGGCAAATCATCCATCTCTGAAAACCAGTAAAGCTGCATGTACCTCCTGCTCTGTGCGCATTATTTTTGGTTTTCTATGTCTTCTGTGTTGTTTTTGTTTTCTATCTATCAAGAGCTAAAGAGCTCTATAAATGTATTCTCCTCTTAACCAAGATTGTCATGAATGAATATTGCAATTTGTTGTGAATTGTCTAGCTCCATACACAACTCCAAAACAATTAGCTTTCTTAACTTGGTATCAGAGCCACATGCATAATGGCAGGAGAGAACAGTAACTCCTCAACCTTCAACCCAACACCTCAAAGAGTTCAAACTCTATCTAGCAGCTCAATGAGTTCTGTGTGTACTCTGAAACTCAATCACGACAACTATCTCCTTTGGAAAAACTTGGTTCTCCTAATCATAAGAGAAAACAAACTTGAAGGTTACCTCACCGGCGCCAAATCGAGCCCACCTGAGCACACAAAAAGAACCATAGAAGGAAGTGCTGAAGTCGAAATCATAGCAAATCTGGAATTCGAAGACTGGTTTGCACAAGATCAAATGCTGCTGGGTTGGCTTTACAGCTCCGTTGAAACCAACATAGCCTCCCAATTGATGGGGCATTCAATATCAAAACTCCTCTGGGTAGAATCCGTGATCTTTTCGCAGTTAAAACACGAGCAAACATAATCTACTACAAAAGAGAATTTGTTAAAATGCAAAAATATAACCTGAAGATGGAAGAACATCTCAAATTCATCAAAGAAATTGTTGATAATCTTGCCCTAACAGGACATCCTGTTACTCTGGAGGATCTCACCTCAGAAGTTCTTGCTGATTTAGACTCCTTTGAATATAACCCTCTCGTGTGTCAAATCACGGAGAAAGAAAACATAAGTTGGGTCCAACTGCAATATCGACTGCTCAACTATGAAAGATGACTAGAACAACACTATTTGATCACGACCACTCCAAACTTCGGACGTTCCTCAGCGCTTTTCTCTAGCATAAAAAATAACAGAACCCATCAGAACTTACCTTCTCAATCAATTAACAAAAGAGGAGGACACAACAACTCTTTTAACAGAGGAGGTCGTCACTGCAATAGAAGAAGAGCAAGAGTCGGTGGTAACTTCAGACTAATTTGCCAGGTGTGTGGCAAAATTGGCCACACTACTGCTTACTGCTATTACCAGTATGACAATAACTACATGGGAACCATTCTAGAAAACTCTCCAAAAGCTTATCAAAGTTCAACTCTTTCAGCAACCCCTGAAGACACTCTTGAAGACCCACTTTGGTATGTTGACAGTAGTGCAAATAATCATATAACATGAGATGCCAACATGATGCAGTCCAAGCAACAATATGAAGGAAGTGAAAGTTTCATGATTGGACATGGTGAGAAAATGCTCATCAAACACGTTGGTAAGATAAACATTTATACTCCCAAAAACAGAAAACTAACCTTAAACAAAGTCCTGCATGTACCAAAGATCAATAAAAACTTACTGAGTGTTTCTCAACTTACCTCCACTAACAATGTTGAAGTTACTTTTTACTCATCTTCCTGTTTTGTGAAGGACAAAGCTACAGGCAAGGTGTTGTTGCTAAGGAAGCTTAAAGACGGCTTATATTGCTTAGACTTATCAGGATCAACTCCTCCCTTTCATCCTTACTGTCAAGCCCTCTTCACTAGCAAACATCATTAAACCCCTAAATCAAGAATCTTGATGTGGCATAGAAGATTAGGACACCCATCTTTAAAAACCTTATCTGTCATCCTGAAAACATGCAATGAATCACTAAAACTTAATGAAAACATATTTTGTGATGCATATCAACTGGACAAGTCTCATCTTCTTCTCTACACTTTATCTTTATCAAATGCAAAAGCCTTGTTCGAAATTGTTCACATTGATGTTTGGGGACCATCTACTCTCCATTTTCTCTCTGGCCATAGGTACTATGTAATCTTCATTGATGATTATAGTCAGTTCACTTGGCTTTATCCATTAAAATAGAAATCAGAAGTCCTTCAAGCCTTTACTCTGTTTAAACACCAAATAAAAACTCAGTTTGGAAAGAAAATAAAATGTCTTCAATCAGAAATGGGAGGAGAATTCATTAGTTTAGGTCAGACTCTCCAAAATAATGGGATTAAGGTCATATACTCATGCCCCAACTCTTTAGCTCAAAATGGACGTGTTAAAAGAAAACATCGGCATATAACCGAAACCAGTCTCACTCTTCTTGCCGAGTCAGGTGTACCATTGAAATTTGACTGTACATTTAATCTTAAGTTTATGCTGAACTTAAAATTAGGTATCATTATTAATTATGAATTTTAATTTCTTTTGCAATTATAAACATTATATCGTAAACCAATACATTCAAGCATACCCACATGCATATACATATATAAAACATTATGCATCTAACTTCATTAGATTTTATATTTATACATAAGATATAATTTCATTAAGAAAATATTTCAATTCTTTTTTTTTTCTATTTGTAGTATTAGATTGATCAAACTTAACATTTTTTTTGTTCTTCACTCTTTCAGTGACCACTACTGAATCAGGAGCTGTGGCCGCAAACTTAATTTTAGAACAACCAGATCGTTTCAAGCTTGTTACGACATCCCTAAAATTACGTGATATGAATATTATCGTATTCTTAAAAATAGTCAAAAGAAGAGGGATTGCTACAGTTTGTATGTTGCTTCAAAATTTAATAACTCATTTTAATTTTCAGATGTTCTTTATCTATTTTTATTACCATGCAGTGATGGGATTAGAGACCGAAATGGACATTACCCTTAAAGCATTGCAGGATGGTGTATGCTTCTGTTTGGAGAAACCCATTTCACCACAGAATGTTAGAGACGTGTGGCAACACGGGATAAAGAAAAATAGATCAAATGAAATTGGATCGATTAAAGAAGGAGAGAATGATAATGGAGTTGGAGAAAATCAAGCTAAGGCGAACCCTCAAAGTATTCTAATGTTAAACCGAAAGGAACCAAATGCTGGACTTGGAAATGGACAATCAAAAGTGAGAAAGATAAGATCTGCTTTTGAGAATACTAGTGTTAATGCGGTTTGGGAAGAGGGTGAGGAGGACAAGGGCGGGAACTGTGCTAAGAAACAACGTATGGTTTGGAACCATGACCTGGAATTAGAGTTTACAGCTGTTGTCAGTGCTTTAAGGGACAAAGGTGATTTCCCACTACTTATAAAAAGTTATTACTTTAATTTTAATGTATATATATATAACCATATAATTATATCCTTTGGTTTCTACATGCAGAAGCTCGTCCAAAGTCAACACTAAGTTTTATGGATGTTCCAGAGTTGACTCAACCCCAAGTTGCTAGTCGTAAAAGGTTTCATACTGTGACAATTTTTTTAAAAATCAAGTAACTATTATGTGCTCTAGAAATATAATGGATTTGCAATTAAGAGCCTATTTAGTGAATTTATTAAAAATTATTTTTACAATCAAACGAATAAAATACAAAATAGTTTTGACAACAATTAAAGACAAAATTTTTTTTTAATAATTTTAAACTCAAAAGTTAGAATGAGTAATTTTTATAGAATAACTTTAATTTTTATTAAAAATATATTTAAAACTTTAAAAGTCAATTTCCCAAAACACAAAATTTTTGTTTTTTAAGGTGGCAATATTTTTTATAACTATTTCTATCAAACGTAAATTAGCTTTTGACTAAAAACACTTTTAATTAATAATTATTTTAACAATATTTCTAAAATTCACAACACAAACTACGGTTTATTCAAATATTCACTGAAAATACGAAAATAGCATTAATTACCTAGTATTTCTTTGCTTTTATATTGTATGTGGTAAGGTTCGTGTACGTATTAATTATTAATATTTACTAGCCCAACAATGAATTTAATTAAATACTGATGTAATTAATATATGATTCGATATAGTTTATAGAGATTTGATTCTAAATTTTAAATCAAATCTCATAAATATACATATTAATTATTATCTCACTGAACAATGTTCAAAATAATGCTTCAAGGGTGCAAGTTGGATCATCATATGAGGTACATAATAACAATTCATTCTTACAGATTGGGGACTCATTGAACAATGCTTCAAGGGTGCAAGTTGGATCATCACATGAGGTACAGAATAACAATTCCTTGTTGCAGATTGGAACCTCATCAAACAATGTTCAAAACAATGCTTCAAGGGTGCAAGTTGGATCATCATGTGAGGTACATGATAACAATTCATTGTTGCAGGTTGGATCCTCATTGAACAATGTTCAAAACAATGCTTCAAGGGCGCAAGTTGGATCATCATATGGGCTGCAGAATAACAATATGCTTCTACAGCCTGGATCGTCATTAAACTGGCTGCAGAATAATTTGCCGATGTTTCATCCTAGACCCTCATTTAATTTCCAGAATAACAATGCAGCTTTGCAATGTGAGTCATCACTAGACGTGCAGGATGATGAAGTGTCGTCGATATATAGACCACAACCAGAAGGGATGCAGGAGACTCTTTTGGTGCTACAACAGGGATCATCATCATCATCACATGGTTTATGGAAAAACATTTCAAACCTGTAGCCTAGAATCCCATCAAATAGTTACCTTCCTCCCCCTACTAGTCAAAGCCAAAACCAAGGTGTAACGGATTACCAGATCTTGTAGAACTTTCTTGACAACGAAGAGACAGAAACTACTGGTAATGGCAATGACCCAAAATCGGAGAAGGTTGAACAACTATGTCAATGGCTTGCAAAGGTTTTGGCTGGGGATGAGGAGTGATGCTGGTAACTGAAATTCTCTTCAGTACACCACAAACTCTCTTATTTGATCAACTAATCGAATGATGTCTATACAGTAAACTGTACTAAAATTTTCATATGCAGTAGTAATATGTTTTTTCCTAATACTTTACAAGTACTTTTGTTTTGCTGCAGACAAGTAGAAGAAAAGATTTGTTTTTATCCGTGAATGAATTTTATCCTGATCATCCCCTTTGACCAAATTTATTACTACCTCATTCCCTCCACCTTTACTAATATTCTCTGCTTGCTCATTTAATATTCATTGCATGTACTTATTACTAGCCTACACTGATCATAATGCAAAATCTTCTTTTACATAGATGAATATTCCTTCATACTGGTTAACAGAAATATTAATGAAATGAATCTGGCTATCAATATATGCATTCTTTCTGCATCTTGAATTAATTCTTACTTAATCCAGTTCTCAGTTTTTTGAAGCTCAGCACTATTTGAAACTGCATTAGCTCGTATGTAATGGCCCGAAACTTGAAAGGAAATAAATTATAAATTTAATGCAGAAGCGAAATAATAGTGTTAGGGTTTACATTCCTTATACTATAATTCAAAATACCCAATAGGGCTAGGGGAATGACCCGTCTAAAAAAGCAACGAATAATCAAAGAAATAAATAGAAAGTAAATAACTGAACATCCTATTCGCAACCCTCTTATCGATCGGGATCTGTATCTTGGTCCTCTTGATTTGAAATGGTTAATGAAAGAGTGCGCTACACTAGCCCAGTTAGAATCTCACAATATTCACTAATACAGAAATGAAGGTTGGTAAAAATCATGAAAACAACTAATGAATCTCTTAATTTAAATAAATTCATTTATTATAAGTAAAATAATTTATTATACACTTACTGTAGCGAAAATTTTAAAACTGACCTATAGAGGCAATAGTATAAACAATATTATAATCTCATATTTAATTAACCAGAACAACAACTTTCCTTTTTTATCTGCCTACTGGATACAATGGTATCCATGGGGGTCCATAGAGATGTCCCCACTATGCGTGAACCCTTATTTAACATTTTTAAGTAATTAGCCGTCCCCATACCTGTCCGGTATGAGCGCCAAAAATACCACCCCTCAATACCCAGTCCGGTATGAGGGTGAAACTGGTCGTCTCCATATCTCGTCTGGTATGAATGTCAAAATACCAATTCTCGATACTCCACCTGATATGAGGCAATATTCACAGTAGGGTTCCCTATGCACCCGGTAAGTCTACCATCTATCAAGATATCCAGTAAGGCTACCATTCATTCAATCACTTAATCAAATAATTATTCGTTTACATTTAATTTTTAGTTACACAATTTAACTGTAAATAACGTAAAACAAGCAATACATGCATCAAGGAAGCACAACAAATCATTATACAAACTCCAGTGTATTATTATGCATTTGCAACTGTAAAATCAATCAAATAGGATAAACAGTGAATAATAACTAGTTGCGACTCCATTAGTAACCTGTGATTAATTATTGAGATTTTTTAAATTGTACAAAATACCACATTATTTATAATTAAACTTCAATTCTGTAACAAGGAATAGGGTGAGGGATTCTTATACGAATCGATGTCTGAAACGATAAGCTTTCAGCTGCGTCTACTGGCAGTCCTCGGGTTCCCTAAATTTTTATACGGAGATTAAAACACGCTCCATATACCTAGAAATACCCCAAAAAACTCAAAATAGGTGTTAAAAAGTCTTTCTAGCAAATTTTGGGATTCCAGCATGGCAGTGCCGTCGTGCTCCGACTGCGGCACAGCTGCCTGCGGTGGTGGTTTGCCTTGGGCTGACTAGTTTCTGCCAGTTTTGGCCGATTTCGGCCAGTTTTGTATCATCCTTGCGTGAAAACACATTTAGGAACTCGGTTGGCCAAAAAAGTCAAAAAACAGAAGCTTACCGGCGGTGGAGTTTTTCGGTACGACGGCTCCACCGGCTCACCTTCGCGATTGGACATTTTTCTTCGGTCAACCTGTAGGAAACAAAATGGTGAAAAAATTACACGAAACAGGAATCGGGAAGGGCCTCATCGGAGGCGATTTATGATTTTTTCCGTGGCGGCGCCGCTGGACTTTACCCGCTATTTTCGGCTCATCCGCCGGTTCTTTTGCTCTGATTTGGCCATGGGATATTAAAAATCAAATTTCGAGCGACAGAGAGAATTTTTACATTTTTTGGCGGTCAGAGGTGGCTCCGATGTGGCGACGGGTGACAGTCGACTCCCTTCCCGACGACTGGTTCTTCTTCTCCGGTGGGGGGGCTGGCAGCTAGGGTTAGAGTTTGGTGTGAAGTGAGATATTTATATCTTTCTTCTTTTAATTTGGGCCGTCCATCGCGTTATGTGATAATTTATTTTCATTTAACTTCTTCCTAAATTTCAATGATAGTACTTCAACAAATTTGCCCTTACTTTCATTTTCTTTATTTAAATTCCCACTCAGTTTACCCAATTTGATTAAGTTAGGTTTGTTTTTTTGGTGAAGGTTTGGTTGGTTTATAATTTGTTAAATTCATTGTTTAAATTTTGTCTTAAAATTTTATAAATCCTTATGTCACTTACCTATCCAGCTTGTTTTTAATTTCTTATGACTAATTTCCATTTTATGTTTGTATGATTTAATTGATCTAATATATTAAGCAAATTTCTTTTCCAATTAACTCCTTATTCAAAGATCCCAAAACTTGGTTAATTTTTTTTGTTTGGTTTTTTTGAAAATTTGTTTATTAGAGGTTTATTTATTTAAGTTTTAGAATTTAATTGTTTTAATTATTAAATTTACTTCCATTTTTTAGGCAAATAAATCATTTCATCAATCAATCAAATAATTTATTACATGCAATATTAAAATCAAATAATTTTCAATCACTCAACTCATGATTCAATCATCGTTCACATGAGACCTTTTCAAATTCCTAATTCGAACAACTTTCATACATTTTCAATTTACACTACATACACAAGCATAGAAAGATCATACAACAAGCATCGTGAATAAAAACTTTATTAATTTTTTGATCACTTAATTCTTAATTATTAACTTCTTAACTTTATTAGAATCCTTAATTTTTTGAGTTTTTGAAAACGTTCTTTGTCTTTGAAAAACATGCAAGTGAGGCTTTGAGATAGCTACTAAGGGCCTAATTGGATGATTTGTATAATGATTCATTAATGCTGAGTTACGGTTCGGTATGTGCAAGACTCATTAATATTCAAATTTAACCATATTTGGATGATGATTTATTAATGTTTGATAGTAGCAACTGTTTTTGTTTGGATTGACAATATGATATGGTTGTATATTTGAACAAATTATTTATTTTGCCATTACTTTATTTTATATAGTAATAAATACAAAATAAAAAGAAAAAAGATTAAAAAAATATGTAGTGTTAAATATAGAGATATATAAATATATTTAGCTAAATATATACATATATAATATATATATAATTAAAGATATATATATATATACAAGTAAATATATTAAATACATATATATAATTAAAATATTACATACATGAAAATGTTTGCACGCAGGAAAATGCCCAAACACAGAGAGAGAGAGAGAGGGAATCTGTGAGAGAAAAAAGAAATAAAAAATCGGAAAGTTGTAGGTTGGAGTGGAACCAAGGGTAATTTAGTAAATAAGAAAAACTTTTAAAGTTATAATGAAAAAAAATAATCAGACCATCATAAAACAACTAAATCGTTGGTTTAAAAAAATTGAAAAAAATTATGGTATTGAGGACCATGACTCAACAAGTAAAAAATCGATGTTTGGAAATGCAAACAAATAAAAAAAAATCATGAAAAATCATACTATCTTCACTTAACCATCATCCAAACATGTCGTAAAGGTACTTACCACATTCCGGACAAATAAAACTTAACACTCACTTCACGATCCTTTAACACCTCCATTTTTCCAATTCCACAATGCCTACGCAAAACTATACATAACCTTAATAAAATTTCGTATTGATGAAATTAACTCTTAGTTACTAATTATTTTAATTTTAATATAATCCTAACCAATTAAAAAAATGACTTAAGTTACGCCAAGAGATGTTAAATGGTTAATTTAGGAAATCTGCCTTGAACAGGTTCGGAATTCCCGAAGGAATGCACGTGGGAAAGTTTGGAGTGGAATTTGACCTGTATAGAACAACCACAACTAGTTAGTGGTTAAAACTGGTTCAACAGACATGTTTTGGGGCCGATTCAAATTGGTCAAATCGGTTGGACCGGTGAACCCGAAAAGAAGGCAAAAAACTTACCAATAGACATAGAGAAGGTACGAATGTGACCTTTGGTCGGTACCCATAGCCATACACGGCATCCCTCGTCCAATTCGCATAGCCCGACGTGAAAACTACCCAAAATAATTGCCTCCACTCAATAGCGGAACGCCACACGCATCTAGTGTCCCAGACCCCTGTGGATCCAGCACTAGTGCTTGCAGCATAATAACCTCATGTAAGAAAGGCACCCGCACATGTGACAACGACCCCTGTACGCAAGCCTGAACTCGCAACCACCCCTGGTCGTGGCCAAACCCAGTGCATGCTCCTTCCCTCGGTCTCCCTTTCCTTTGTGGGCAAATCGGCCCGCTAGGCTCCTCTGTTCGCAGGCGACATGCCTGGTTGTGGATCACTATCTTGGCACGCTCACAGTCTGGCCACTCGCGGCCACACATCTCTTTTCTTTTTTCGTGCTCTCAGCCCACACTGTTTGCACACGCAAATCACTCCTCTTCTCTGTTTTGTGGTCCTACGCTGCTCCCTCTTTTCTTCCTTCTCCTCCCTCAGCTCGTCTTCTTTTCTCCCTTACCCCGCTCTCCTCTCTTTCCCTTCGGCTAACCTTATTCTCTCGCTTACCCCGCTCACTTCTTTTTTCCCTCAGTCTATCTCTCCTTCCCACTTCTCCCCCTCGCATACGTGGCCACCGTCACACCAGGACCACTACCCCTCTCTCCCTCGGCTCCTTCTCTTCTCTTCTTTTCTCTTCTTTTCTATTTTTTTCCTTTGTTTCTTCCTCTTCAGGCGAGAACACCGCTGGGCGGTCTCTCTCTTCTCCCCGGCTCGCGGTGGTTCACTGTGAGCAGCTCCTTCTTTGGGTGAAGATCGCTATTACAGGATCTCTCCCGTCCCCTCTCCTTTTAGCCGAATGGCCCCAAGTGAGGGAAACCCAATTAGGGTTTCCCCTAAATAGGCCCGCCCTTGGCCGTTGGATCTCCATTTGGGAGATCTAGTCCTTCATTTTGGTCAGGGGCATTTTTGTCCATTCGTATCTAAAAATTTATCTTGACCGTTCGATCAGGAGCCCGTAGATTGTAGCCGTATGATCTAGGGTTTTATTAAGGATAAAAGGGTCCATTTAAATGCATGAAATATCGACCGTTAAATCATATCTCATGCGATCTGGACTACTCATTCGAATTTTGAATGAGATGGAATCCTGACCGTTCGATCAGATCCGACAGAAAACCATCCTGGCCATTGGATCGCTATCTACATGAGGGAGAATCTCAACCGCATGATAGTAACACACGTCGACCGTTGGATCGTGATCTATGTGAGACGGCTTCCTAGCCGTTAAATCAGAAAACCCACATAATCATGGTCGTCCATCAATAACACAACAAGGACGACCCATGACCATTAAATCGACTTGGTCAAGAAATGCCCACGACCATCTAATTCGCGCATACGCGAATTGCCACACACCAAGTGCAGCCTGCATGTCCGCCACATGGCATGTGGCTATTGGCCGTGTGGCCACGTCACGCACTAACATGGCTGAACTTTAAGAAATTACAAAAAGACCTAGTTTTTGTATTTTTGTTCATTTAGGTTCCCAGACCCCCCTTTTTTGGGCCCAAACGACCCACCAATTTTTCTTATTTTATTTATTTTTAGGCTTAAATATTATTTTCAAATCGTTTAAATATTTATTTTATGATATTTAATTTATTTAATTTCTTATTTCTTTATAAATTTATTGTTTACTTCCCTAATCTCCTAAAAAATTTTGTCTTATTAATTTATGAATTTTAATATTTTCTAAATTATTTTAGTTTAATTAATTTCAATAGTTAATAGGTTTCAATTCTTTTAAAATTCCTTTCTAGTTTATTTAAAATTTAATTTTTTTAAGTTAGGGGATCTTGGGTTTGGCTGTTACAATCTCCCTCCAAAAAGAAATTTGATCCTCCAAATTTTCATTTGCTTGACATAGGAATGGCACATGTGACTCTTAAGCATGGTTTAAGAGGTAATTACTAGTTTATCACACCATCGTCCTCTTATTCAGTTTGAAGAGAGAAATAGCAACGGTGTGATGGTTAGGGTTCAACACACTTCTACTACGTACTATGATGAGAAATGCATTGGAGACTTATTGAATAGCTGGATAAGGCCAAGCTCTTAAGATTCTATCACTTATGAAATTTTAATTTAGGAATACTTAGAATTCTATCTAAGTGTTATTTGATTCTCAGTAGCTAGATTTATTAGGAGAAAGAATCCTAACTAAGTGTTGATTTATTTTTGTTACCAATCAATTTTGAAATAGGAATAAGAGTTTTGGAATACCTAAGGAATTGCTCTATCTTAGAGAAAAGCAAGGAAAAGTTCTTTACAAAAGAATTAATAATTACTATTGGACTCAGATTAGAATAAGGGTTTGTCATTTCCAGGGAGAGTTTATGTGGAGGGATTTTCTCTCATCTTGGGAATTTCACCCATATGAGAATTTCCCACACGAGGGATTTTAGTTCTATGATGGAGGAATTTTCCTCATATTAGGGAGATATTTTCCTCAACTTGGGGAATATTCTCTAGTTTGGAGAAATTTCTTCCACATGGAAAGTTTCTCATAAGGGGGATGTTCTCCAATTGAGAAAAGTTGTCCCCTGCAGTGGGAAATTTCATGTGGAAACCTAACCCTAAGACTCCACAACACTTTGATACCTCATGCACAAGGGATGCCCTAGGGTCATATTGCTATAATACCACATGTGACAGCCTGTAATTCTACTGGGGAACTGCAGTCGTCGAGCACTAACTAATTTAGAAAATTGGCTGGCCATAATACAATGCAATGTAGAAGCGCATCTACTTATCCCTTGTAACATTGTAAAAATAATAAATTACAACTCATGAGGTATCAGAATGTAAAGAGTCAAACTTAAAAAGAACATACCTGAAAATAAAATAAACTGTGAATCTTCTTATTTGGGCACTACAATATATGTTTTCTGATTTGGAAAAGATGAGAATTCGAATGGGATGAGCAAAACAATGAGCTCAGTAAGTACACCTAGTAGCCTACACCCTAGGCGATGCATACAACATACAGTCAAACATATATATAAAACGTTTATGACCTTCATAGAAAAGGATGAATTTCAAAAAAGAGGGTTTTAAATCTTAATCTATAAACCTAGAGGTTGCGTTTTTTTTTCTATAAATTTATTTATTTAGGTTTTAGAATTTAATTGTTTTAATTATTAAATTTACTTTGATTTTTTTTTGTAAATCAATTAATCAAATAATTTATTATATGCAATATTAAAATCAAATAATTTCCAGTCATTTAACTCATGATTCAATCATCATTCACATAAGACATTTTCAAATTCTTAATTCAAACTACTTTCATATATTATCAATTTACACTATATACACATGCATAGAAAAATTATACAACAAGCATCGTGAATGAAAACTTTATTAATTTTTTGATCACTCAATTCTTAATTATTAACTTCTTAACTTTATTAAAATCCTTAATTTTTTGAGTTTTTGAAAAAGTTCTTGGTCTTAAAACAACATGCAAGTGAGGCTTCGTGATTGCTATTAGAGGTACTTACCACATTTCGGACAAATAAGACTTAACACTCACTTCACGATCCTTTAACTCTCCCCTTTTCCAATTCCACAATTCCTACGAAAAACAATACATAGGCTTAAGAAAATTTTCTATTAATGATATTAAATCTTAGTTACTAATTATTTTAATTTTAATTTAATCCTGACAAATTAAAATAACGACTTAATTTACACTAAGGGATGTTAAATGTCTAATTTGGAAAATCTACCTTGAACCAGTTTAGAAATCCCGAATAAAGGCATCCTGATTTGCCACAAGAAAGTTTGGAGTGGAATTTGAACCTGGATATAACAACCAGAAGTGGTTAGTGGTTAAAACTAGTTTAACATAACTGGATCGGTTCAACAAGCCCAGTTTGGGGTCTGTTTCAACTGGTCAAGCCAGTTGGACTTCTCAACAGACCCCTACGGATCTGACACTGGTGCTTGCGTCACAACAGTTTGTGTGTAGGAAAGGAACCCACACATTTAGAACGGCTCCTTGCACATGTGCCCGAGCATGAAACCACCCCCCATTGCGGCCAAACCTTGCTCATGCTCTACCCCTTAGTCTCCTTTTCCCTTATGGAAAACCTGGCCCGCCAGGCTCCTCCACTCACGAGCAACGTGCTCGGTTGCAGATCACCATCTTGGCATACCCACAACCTGGCCGCTAGTGGCCAAGCCCCTTTTTTTTCCCCCGCGTTTGCGACCCACATCACTCATGCACGAGAATCACTTTTATCCTCCGCTTTGTGGTCCTATGCTACTCCCTCTTTTCTTCCATCTCTTCCCTCAACTCATCTCCCTCTCTTGCTCACAATACTCTCTTCTTTTTCCCCTTAACTCACCTTCTTCTATCACTTACCTCGCTTTCTTATTTTCTACCTCAGCCTTTCTCTCCTTTCTGCTTCCCCCCCTCGCGTACGCGGCCACCACCGCACGCAGGGCCACTACCCCTCTCTCCCTCAACTCCCTTTTTTTTTCTCTTTTTTTCTCTTATTATCCCATTCTTTTCCTTCTTTTATTCCTCTCCCAACGATACCATTACTGGGCGGTCTCTCTCTTTCTCCTTGACTTGCATCTACGCGATCTCCCCCACCTCCCTCTCCTTTCGGTCGAAGGGCCCCAACCAAGGCAAAACATATTAAGATTCCCCCTAAATAGGCCTGCCCTCGGCCGTCGGGTCTTTATTTATGAGATCTGGGCCATTCATTTTTGTTAGGGGTATTTTCATCCATCCACATATAAAAATGCATTTGACTGTTCGATCAGGAGCCCCTAGATCGAACTGTACGATCTAGGGTTTCATTAAGGATAAAAGAGTCCATTCACACATGTGAAATCTTGACCGTCAAATAAGATCTCATACGATCTAGACCACTTATTCGAATTTCAAATGAGATTGTCACAGACTATATCCCG